TAACAGTCCTGCCCAGTCGTCCTGCTGGTAGTTCACGTAGTGCCTGAGGTACTGTTCCATCGTCTGGTTCATCCTTTTTGTTTGACCGTTTCCTTGTGGATGATATAACGTTGTCAATAAGTGATTGATTCCCATTTGGTCGGTAAGTGATTGCCAAAATTTCGATGTAAATAGTTTGTTTCTGTCCGAAGTGATTCGTTGTGGCATCCCGTGTCGTATAATGATGTGTACCAATAGCAAATGTACTATATCTGTGGCTTTTATCGTTATCTTGCATGGTATTATGTATGCGTACTTTGTCAGTCTGTCTGTGATAACTGCGATCATGTCCTATCCCTGAGATTTAGGTAAAGGTCCCACGAAATCTATCGTGATCCATTCCCAAGGTTTCGATGGTGCGTCTGGTGACTGCATTTTTCCGTAGGGTTAATGTCTTGCTGGTTTGTCCTTAATGCAAGTCTCGCATTTCTTCGTAATATAATCCTGTACCTTCCGTCTGACGTTTGGAAAGTAGTAGTTCCTTGTGATCTATTCGGTAGTCTTCTCGACTCCGAAATGTCCGTACATAGGGTTATTATGATACATAGCAATGATCTCAGTTCTCATACACTCTGGTATGTAGATGAGTCCGTACATATACACTAACCCGTCCTCGTCAGTAGCGATCTTTTCATTTTCTGCTGAGTTTTTTGCAATTTGTTGAATCATGGTATCTTCCTTGGTTGCCTTGATGATTTTGTTAACAATGTTGTTACTGATTTCGATTGTTACCGAGATCGAATGTTGTCTGTTGTACGAAAGTAAACCGTCTTTGTTTTGTTTCAATATTGCCGGCTCCACAATTCGATCCGTGATTTTGTAATCTGATCGTTAACTAAACGCGTCTGCTTGTCTGTTTTCTGTTCCTTTGCAATGTTCGATTCTGAAATCAAACTGTGATAACTTTTCTGACCATCTCGCTTGTCTTCTGGTCAATTCTTTGGTCGTAGTAAAGAACGTAAGGTTCTTGTAATCCGTTTTCATTAGAATCTGGTGCTGAGCTCCTTCCAGGTACACTCTTTATACTTTGAATGCTGTTACTATGGCTAGCAATTCTTTGTCATAAATGTCGTAATTCATTTCTGCCTGAATAAGTTTTCGTAAATGGAACGCAATTGGTTTGGCTCTGCCGTTCTTATCTGGTTGTGTCATTCTTATACCGATAGTATAGTCGGATGCGTCGGTTTCGATCGTAGTCAGCTTCTCTGGATCGTGCTGTACTAGGATTGGTGCAGTCGTGATTTTCCGTTTTATATTGTCGAAAGTTTGCTGTATCTGTGTTGTCCATTCAAACTTCTGATTCTGTTTCAACAAGTTAAATATCGGTACTATAGATTTGGCGTATCTATCGATAAACCTCCGATAATAGTTGATCAATCCGGTAAACTGTTGGACTTCTTTCAGGCTTTTAGGTACAGGCCAATCCCTGATTGCCTGGACTTTGCTTCTTTCCATGTGTATTCCTTCGGTAGTGATCCAGTGTCCTAAGAACTCTGTCTCTTGGATATGGAACTCACACTTCTTGAGTTTCAATCGTAACTTAGTAATGCGTAGTTTCCGTAGCACTTGTTTCACGTGTCGAATGTGCTCTTCTTCGTTATTCGAAAATACCAGAATATCGTCTAGGTACGCGATGACAAAGGTGTCGAGCAATTCTCCCAAAACTTCGTTAATAAATCGCTGGAATGATGCTGGCGCGTTAGTTAGCCCGAATGGCATGACCAAGTATTCGAAATGTCCGTATTTCGTTTTGAAAGCCGTTTTCCATTCTTCTCCTTTGGCGATTCTCAATCTGTTGTATGCGTCAGTAATGTCAAACTTTGTAAACCATTTTGCTCCTCTGATTTTGTCTTGTATCTCTGCAATGAGCGGTAATGGATGTCTGTCCTTAATGGTTTGTTCATTTAATGGTCGGTAATTAACGCACAATCGTAAGTTTCCATCCTTTTTTGGTGCGAACAGGACTCCGTGTCCTGCAGGTGATGTCGATAGTCTAATATAGCCTTTTACAAGTTGTTCTTTAATGTATTGTCGCAAGATCTGAGACTCCTTTTCTGACATAGGGTAGATCTTTCTGCATGCAACTTTGTCTTCATCTTTAAGAGGAATTCGGTAGTCATATTTTCCGTGTTCTGGTAGTTCAGGCTTCTCGGGTTGTTCGAATAGTTCCTGAAATCTTTCGTATTTGTCTGGTAACTGCTGTACTTCTTTGCTGGCCGCTAATTCTGTAGTATCGATCATTTGCCATGACTCGATCTGTTCGTGCAGTTCCGTGTTATATTCAGTAGTAGCCATCGTGTTGGCGTACTCTTGTCGTGTATCTGGTGCCCAACCAGAAAGTCGTGCTAACCATTCCTTTCCCGTAGGTTTGGTTGCTGCCATAACTGCGACCGCAGTGTCCACCTGCTCGGCATCTTCAGTTAGCGTGTTAGTAGATCTACTCCTTGATCTCTTAGCGTCAGCTCGGCTCGCTTGGCCCTGAGCACGCCGTTTGGCCTCAGATGCCTTCTTCATCTGGTCTTGTCGTGGGCATTCACATTTCGTGAATTGAAAACTCTCTGTCTTCCAATCAATCTCTGAGTTGTGATCCCGAAGCCATGAGATTCCCAACACCACGTCATACCGTTCCAAAGGTGTCACGTCGAAACTTATATACTCGAAATGACCCTTTATAACTATGGGTACTGGTCCTGATTCGACTGTGAGGTATCCTCTCAATGGTTCACCGTTCAGTCCTGTGATAGGCTCTAACGTAGCCTTTGTTATCCCTAAGATCTTCAGCTGTTCCTGAAATCTTGGATCCATGAAGTTGCCCGTTGTTTCAGAGTCTACCATAACTCGAGCGTTCTGGTTCAGAACTGTAGCTATTAACTTCAGATGCAATCCTTTTTGAGCTGTTGCTGATAAACTGTTTGCCCAACGGGGTCCTGCTAACCCTCGTGGCTGTCGTAGGAAATGTTGTCCAAGCTTCGCGTCGTAGTGAACTTGACAATAGTCTTCCCAACATTCTATCCAATGTTTTCTCCCGTGGTCTGGGTGCATGGAGTATCCAATGCAAGCGCACCCTGGTTTCCTGCATGGGCATTCTGTCCCTTCCTTGACCATGTGACATTGTGAGATGTATTTCAGTGTTTCGTATATTGGGTCCTTGCATTCGTCGTCCTGACATGCAACCTATAGTAGGCAATGGTGCGTTACGTGTGTTGTCTGATACAAGCATTCGCAATTCTCTTGTCGACATGCGTGTAAGGATCTGATGTAACCGGTTCGTTTGCTCATTTTCTGTAGAGCCTGATAGTAATCGTGATTCTATCGGTCGCATATCCTGCATCTTGTGGCGTATTCTGTTGCGCATTTCACTCTGTGTGTTGCCCAGTCCTCTCTCTGTGGGTTCCAACAGTTCAACTTCCAGTGCGGACATTGCGAGATAATGCGTCGCAGTTCCCCTGTAAGTTTGGTTAGATCCTGTTTTAGGTCCTGGATCAACTTCTCTTTCCATTGCTCGTTACTGATTTCTTTCAGTAGAGTGAAGACATGCTAATCGGCTTCGCTGTTTTCTCCTTTCTAATCAGAGACTCTGTGTTCCGCTTAATTATAATCAGAAGTATTCTTAATCACTTGATTATCTTCCGAGTCAGTGCTGCCAGCGTCCTCCTGACTGGGTATCTGTTCGTGAAAGTTTTCGTCAGGTGTTTCCGGTATTTCTGAGAGTGTCTCCGTGTTGGGATTACGGCCTTTCCATTGAGTCCTGTAATCTTCGTTCAGTGGGTCGAAACTTCCTGGCATTCGAATCCAGTTGTTACCCAATGAATCTGGCTTCTTGCTGATGGCTTTGAGAGACCCATCTGTTTCGTCATTTATAGGCCAGTGTTCTGAGTCTTCGCTATCAGATATCTCTGGATTTTGGAACTGTCTTTCCTCCCAATCCTCGTTATAGCGTGTTGCGTTCAGAAGCTTCTCGGTTGTTTCACTAAATATCTGTAGAGAATTCGCTAATCTCCTTGTGGCCTCTTCCACGTTGTCAGGAATTCGTGGGTAGTCGTTTTCGTCTTGTAATTTTTGGACAATGCATGATTCTTTTGTTGATCTTTGCGCGTCCGCTACGCCTAAAGGCCACTAACTCATGTCGTATGCGCCTCTCGCGGGTTATACAATCTCGTTAATTTCTTGCGTTACTCTGAGCTTCTTAGTGCCGGACCTCCTCGGTATCCTACCGTTGGCTCCTTTTTTTGGTAATCTGCACTCTTTCGATCGGTACCCTACTTTTTTACAGTTGAAGCATAACTGTTCTTTTTTTCGTCGATCGAACTCTTCTTTCAACAATAGCTGTTGTCGTTTTTCGGTAGCGTCTAGCTCCATAGGTTGTAGCCCATAAGGATCACTGTATCTTTGGCTTCTTGGTTGCGCTGTTCGTCTGTCATTAGCTCAATAACTGTTTGTTTTCTGGTGTCCTTAGAATCGTATTCCAGACCGATTTTCTTTTTGTCGAGCATTAAAGTCGTAAAGCTTGTTATCGATCTTGATTGCTTGCTCTATCATTTTGCTGAGTGATCCTGATCTTTCCATCTAGATCAGCTTCTCCTGGATTTCCGGTTTCAGTATTTCTTCAAATTTGGCGATATAAGAATCTTTATCCCAGTCTAGGTGTGAGATAATCTGTTGAAAGTCTGATGCCAATTTACTAACTGATCCAGTTTGTCTGAGTCGCTACAGCTTTCTTTCGGCGTTTCTTGTCGCATCGATGTCTCCGAACGTTCCCTGGAGTCGTTTCTTGAAATTGTCGTAGCTGGCGAATATTTCTTTTGTGTCGTCATCTTGTTTGTCGACAGGTTGTTCTTGATAGTCCCTAATGTAGGGTTCAAACCAATCGAATGCTGGCCCTGTGAGATAGGTTGACGCGAAAAAAACTTTATCTGCTTCGTGTGCTAACTTCTTATGGTTCATTCGAAGGTATAGGTCTAACTGAGTCGTAAAAGCTTGTAGCTTGGATCTAGTTCCATCAAAGGTCTCTGGCGGTCTGACCTTAATTGATTTGACTGCCAAACGCCCCTCTAGCGTCTGTATGTGGCCTTGGAGTTAACCAATCATCCCCATCAGTTCCTCCGTAGTGGGCGCTCTGGCACCACTGGAACCTGAGGTGTTTCGAGATCCAACGTTACTCGAAATGATTGACATGGCTGCTCG